AGAGAGGCGACAGCTCACGAAATGGGAAGAGTACGCACAGCAGAAAGGAATAAGAAAAAAGAAAAGGAGCAGAAATGTTTTCGATGAACGAACTCAGGTTTTGAATTATTGTATTTCGTCAACGTAAACTGCTTTTTTTCTGGCTTTTTTCCTCATTCGCAACTGGTTGCTTCGTATTAGATCAGTGTGGCTACCAGTCGTCTGTTTTTTTTTTTTGATAATATATTAGATACAGAAGTGCCTGTTAGCATACTATTCAGTTAAACGGTGTTTAATGCATTTTTTAAGCAGCTGTACTAGGAAGAACCATCAAAACTTCGCCGTTGATTGTTTTTAGAAAGTGGTGCCATGTGGCACCAACAGGGCAATACGAAGGGGTTTAGCCATCAACTTCGTTTTCTTACTGCCAGCACTTTCTTCCTTTTGCAACATCTGGATTACCCTGAGCAATCCTATTCGTCATAAAGTGAGCAATACAAGAAATATTTTAGCTTTTGTGTGAAGTCGTTATGTTCTGCTCTGGATCTGCTTTTCACTCGAAATATATTTTCTTTTGCGTTTGAGGAATGGAAAGCGAGATATGGATATAAACGAGCCAGGAACGAAACAGATGATTGGCTAATAGAGATACCTGACAATAAAGGTTAGGTTTTTCAGAAGTTTTGCTTTAGAAGTACGGTAGCTTCAAATTTTTAGCCATTTAAAAGTCATATCTTCGGATTTGTACTGTTAAAACACTCGTAGTTTCTTCAAAATTCGGAGCTTTTTTTGATCCTAAAAGTTCGTTTCGTAACTGAAATGCATTTTCAGATCCGATGATTGATTATTTTGAAGAGCGAATGAAAGCAAAAAAAGAAAGAGTGAATAAAAATGAGATGCAACGTCTGCGTAACATTGCTCGCTCGAAAACAAACATTTCATCAGCAAATACAGCTCCTCTGGGTGTTACTGCTGAACTGAATGATCGCACCAGACATGAGGTTTGAATATTTAAAGTTTGTATGTAGTATTTTTCAATCACACACTTTGTTATGCGCGTGTGATTCATACTAAATATGTAAATTTATCACGATTATCAGCACAATTCCGGGCAAGCGATACAAGGACCCGATGTTAGTGCTGTTACTGAGGGATCCTTTTATGCCAGGTCTTTCGGTCCTAAGCTTAGTTGTTAGCCACTGCTACATATATGTCAACTCTTCGAAGCCGACTTAATTATTATTTATTTCTTGACGCATACCATTTATTAATAGAAATACCATTTATTAATACTCGTGCGATTTGTTTATACTTCAGTGTTTACTAGTATTTTTTTATTCCAAAAATTTCCAAGTATTACTTCCACGCAACTCGCCAACTCTGCTGATCTTCACGTTCAACTTGTGAGGCATTCAGTTGATATAAAATTTTTTGTGAATAATTATTCACAATAAACTTGTGCGTTATAAAGGTTCCAAGAAGGATCGGACAGAGTTTGGTGGCAAAGTTTTCAGTTTGTCCTAAATCCCCACCTGAAGGTCCGAATTTTTGGGAATGGATTTTGTTTTTACCTTTTTTTCTTCTTTTGATCGGCAGCTACACGGTTCTTGGACTGCGGTATTAATGATTTTGTTGCTTGCAGCTTGTGAACCAAATCAATAGAGCTCGCTTTGCAACGGCGTCACACGGTGCTTTCCAGCCA